TATAGTCTATCTATAGAGACAAGATGCAGAAATACAATCTGATGTAATGACAAGTAGATGGATTAGAAACTGCTTGACTGATGACACCCAAGGGCACACATAAGCGAATGAGTGTCAACCCCAAAGGAAATTTCTAGTGACATGTCATCGGGCTCTGTCCTTGGCCTGCTCAACATAGCAGTGGCTTTGATCAGTGAAAACTACACTTGACTCCAATCAGGAAAATCTAAGAGGCTTGTGAAAATAAAGCATCACATGTGCACACAGACCTACTGAATCAGGATTTCCCCAGGAGGCGCTGGGGCAAGGAGCTAAAGGAAGGCCTGAGCAGACGGAGGAATTGAGGGAGCGGGTTGGTCAAAATGTACAGCTACAACCAAGCTGAGTGGAATGGGGAATGTGCTGGGTGAAAGCTGGGTAACTGTGGAACCCTGGATTTAACTCTGGGGAGGGTAAACCCAGCTGGATCTGAGATCAACTTGAACTCTCAGCGATCAACAGTGTGACGTCAATCGGCATGAACAGCAGATGAGGGGAGATGCTCTATGTCCCCTAAAGCACCCTCTCAGTGGTATAGAGGACACACGAGACCAAGGTCAGAGGATCATGACCAAGATACTGAAGGGACTCCACTCAAAAAGCAGCGGATGTTTAGCCGAGAAAGTCAGAAGAAATCAGGACTCCACCCTGAACACCTCAAGGGCCAACATGGAGAAGGGCGTGTTTGGTGGGATCCAATAGGGTAGATCCACAACCAACGAGTGAAAACTACTAGGACATGATTCTTCTTTGGTGCAAGGAAGGTCTTTTCAACAGTAAGAGTAACCCAAAGAGACAGAAGTAGTGAGTACTTTGCTGGAGGAATTGTTAAACTTACATACACTTCAAATTAGCACTTACGTGTGCATACATTTTACATATCTATGTACGCACTTCCTAGACTGGGAATTTCCTGAGGAATTACATCCCCAGAGTCCAACACGAGCCTTGTCCCATGCTGTGTGCTCAATAAATATTATTTGAATGAATGAGCTGATCCTGGACATATGCCACCAGGCCTGCTGTACAACTGCAAGTCATGCTACATAATTGTTCATGTTCCTTCTAAAACAGCAGATCCTGTTATTTCTGCAACACTGCACGTAAACCAGTTTTCTCCAGAGATAGTCATCCTCTGCATCTTCACCATCAATGTGGAATTTAGAAATGACTTATTTAATTACTATGTATAACAGTCAATGTAATATTAGCCCTAGGTTTAAAATTCAGCCTGGTATTAAGTACGAGGCATAATAACTTTTGCCTCTAATGTTTCTGTAGTCCACATAAAAATGTGTATTAAATCTGACCCTTCCAGCTGTGACCTAGTTCAGAGACTTACCCTCCAGGCCTCCTTGCAAGTAAATGTCCCTGCATCTCTCTGTTGGGGGGAATGACTTACTGACTCATGGGCTGAAGTCACTGCCCACAGGTGCATGCCGCCCGCCACCCCTGGCCAGCTGAGGTTCACCTCCAAAGTCATCCTGTGAGAGGCCTGGTCCCGCTTAGAAGTTAACCCAAACATCTTTGACAGAGCAGCCTTTTCAGTAACCAAGGTGATCAATGCACATTATATCCTCCTTAAGGGGCCCCAAAACCAAACCAATTCTCTGGTCCACGAATCAGAGCCTGGAACTCTCCTAAAATCTGAAGCAGCTTCCCAAGCTCCCATTCTGCCCCAGCCCCCATGTAGGAGTGGACATACTATGGTCATGTGTCCAGGGGAGGGAGCCATGTCTCCAAGAAGCATTTACTTTATACGTAGCAGGCACTGTCTTGGAGGCAATCTCATTTAATCTTCACAACAATCCTATGGGGTGACATTAGTGTCCTCATTCCACAAACAAGGAAAGGGGATCTCAGAGAAGTTAACACAGTTGCCCAAAGTCACACAGACGGTAAATGGAGAAGCCAGTGTTTGAACTCACGTCTGTTCAGCCTCAAAGCTGTGCTATTTTTCCATACAGCAAGCAGAGCAATCTTAAAATAAAAGCCACTTTAGGACACCCCCTTGTCAACATGCCCTGGTGACTTCCTCTCACCCAAACTTCTGTAGAACCCTGCCTGCTCAGGCCTCTGCCTGCCTCTCTTCCCACATCCCCTATTCTTCTTGCCCTGTTCTCTCCCTTCCAGTCCTACTGGCCTTCCTCCTGTTCACAGGGACCACCAAGTCTCTGACTCTGGGCCACCACACTTGCTATTCCCTCTGCCCAGAATGTTATTCCCCCAGACCTCTGCAAATCCCTCCTCCTTCATCCAGGTCTCTGCTCCAGTGTCACCTGCTCAGGAAGCCATTCCCAACTACTCTATCAAACAGAGACCTCTTTCCTAGCCAGCGTGGCTCAGTGGTTGAACACTGACCCATGAACCAGGAGGTCAGGGTTCGATTCCGGGTCAGGGCACATGCCCCGGTTGCAGGCTTGATCCCCAGCAGGGGCCATACAGGAGGCAGCCAATCAATGACTCTCATCATTGATGTTTCTCTCTCCCTCTCTCTTCCTCTCTCTGAAATGAATAAAAACATGCTTGAAACAAACAAAAAAAAGAGACCTCTTCCGTCACCACTCTCTAGCCCTTACCCTAACCCTACACCTTATGTTTCTCAGCAGCACTTACTAGTACCTGAACACATATATTTGAATACATATACTTGGCTAGTTAACTGCTTATTGTCAGCACCCCCACTAGAATGCAAGCTCCACGGGGGCAAGGACCCTGCATCACTCACAGCCACACCCCAGGTCCAGGGCCCACATGCGGCAGTGCACACCACGCTGGGTAGCTGTAAGCCCTTTACCCTCACCACCTCCATCTGGTCCCAGCACGCAGAGGTCAGCGACACAGTAGCTGGGTGACCTTGGCCAAGCAACTTCAGCTCTCCAGAGAAACTTTCCATTTACTGGCAGTGGCCCAAGCAAAGAAGGGACTGATATTTCATCCCTCCATAAAGACCACATCAATCCCTTGCTCTGATATTTGCCAGTTTTGGAATTTTGTGATTTTTATCAGAGAAGAGACATTTGGTGCAATGGATGAAACAAGAAGATAATTATATTTCCCAAAGAGAGAGAAAACCTTCAAAACAACCAATTGTCTGTTTATTGCTAGAATAGACAATTAGCTCATTTAACGCCTTCCAGCATCTTTTCCAAAGCAGATGGAAATGGACTCTTATTAAAGGAGAGGAATAAAAAGCTGTGTGATCCAGCACTGCACCCACCAGAGAGCTTCTGAAAGGGGAATTTCTGAGATTCCACCAATACAGATCCCCAAGCTTATAAAGGGATTGGGGCAGAAGCTAGTCATAATCCAAGAAAAGACCAGTGTTCAACATAAAAGTTCCCAGAGATAAAATTATCTCTGTTTGGGGAACTTAATTTGTCTCCCTTCATATATAATCGCCATTTTCCGTAAAACATTTTACATTCTGCAGAAGTATTTTGTAAATAAACAGAGGGTCTTTCCTTTCAAAACTCAGGACTTATTTGAGTTTTATTTGACTCAGTATATCTGAACGTTGTTTTAGTTGAGGAAATTCCTACTGGCATCTGAGGGGCTTTTGTTTACTGGACTTTCCTCGTTTTTCTCTCCCTTCTTAACACATATAGCACTTCAAAGAAACTCTTGGCCTCAGGCCCTGGTCAAGCTCAAAGGGTGAAATACCAAAGAGATAAGAGAACAATCTTCTGGGAAAATTTAAGCTAACCTCTTAGTTTACAACTTCTAACCAATCCCTCCACTCCCTCATTCTTACAAGGTGGGAGATGATAAAGCTTTACAGGGTAGCCAAATACCAGGACAGATAAAACACTGCCAACGCTTTCACTTCCAAAGACAGCAGAAGAAAAGAGCTTGTATTCAGTTTTGAATCCCAGTGCTTGGCCTCAGGAAGGAGAGTTATACAGGAAAAATTAAAAGGTGCAGACGGGGAGGAAAGTGGAGTGAACTGGGCAGTGGAGTCATGAGTGTGTTGCTAAAAGCATAAACTGCCCGACCCTGATCCTCATGGTAGCCTACAACACGCTACGCTCTGTTTCCAGATTTTCCCTTTTACTATACTGCACGTGATCATAAATTACGAATATTCCTGAATGCTTTCAATCAGCAGACTGGTATTCACATTCTTCTGCATTAATGATAAGTTTATCTAATATTCAAACACAAATTATATCCAGCTTCCTTCACAGAACATGCTAACAGCTTATCACATAACACACCAAAAAAAAAAAAAAAATCATCTCTATGGCTCAAGTAATCTTCCCAAAGGTTAGAAAATAAATGAGAAAGAAGGCTGCAGGTGGTTTAGTGATATTTATGAGCATTATTGAAATTCTTGTGCCAGGATGAAGAAACGTTCCACGGGAACACGTATCTCTTGGCTTTCTGATAAAATTCCAATACACAGTCTTTGTTGTGCAAGTGTCTTGTTACTTCTGTAATTATTTTATACAGTGATCAGTTTAGGCTCCATTCCTGAAGAGTCTGAGAAATAAGCCATTATCTTGCAAAAACACTTTCCTTAAAGAACCATATTTGTTTGTTTGTTGTTTTATTGTTGTTTTTATTGAATGTATTGGGGTGACACTGGTTAATAAAATTATATAGATTTGAGGTATATAATCCTACAATACATCATCTATATATTGTATTGTGTGTTCACCACCCAAAGTCAAGGGTCTTTCCATCACCATCACGCCCCCTTACCCTCTTCTGCCTCCTCCCACCCCCTAACTCCACTCTGGTAATCACCCTCCTGCTGTCTGTGTCTAGGAGACTTTTGTGTGTTTTCAACTTAATCCCTTCACCTTTTCACCCAACCACCCAAACCACATTTGTTTATACTCTGCAGTTTCCAAAAGGGAATATATATATATGTATATAAAACTAACATATATAACATATAGTACAATGTGCAGCCTCTAACAACCCAGATGCACGCATTTTCATGATATTAGACTTACTTTTTCATTCCACGCCCACAGTCCAATTCCAAGAAATGCTATTCCCAAAAACTGAAAGAAAGAGAGAAAGCAGTGTAAATATAAGGGTAAACATCATGTTTTTATTAATATAAATTAGAAAATTTTCAATCGATTCTTTTGCCACTTTACCTGGCTGAGAATACTTTTCTCTAAAATCTGAGTAATAGTCTTTAACAGAAAAACAAAGAACAAAAGGAAAACCAGAATACCCTTTACTAAAGTTATTACAGCATCAAAAAGGGTTGGGTGTAAAAAAAAAAAGTGGATGTATATATGCAACGGAATATTATTCAGCCTTTAAAAAGGAGGAAATCCTGCTATTTGTGACAACATGGATAAATCTGAAGGACATTATGCTAAATAAAATAAGCTAGACAGAGAAGATAAATACTACATGGTATCAGTTATATGTGGAATCCAAAAATGAGTAAGTAAAACTCACAGAAATAGGAACTAGGGAGAGGTTGTTAAAAGGGTACAAACTTTCAGTTAAAAGATGAATATGATCTGAGAATCTAATGTATGAGTGGTGACTACACTTGATAACAATGTATTATATCATTGAAATTTGCTGAAAGAGTAGAACTTAAATGTTCTCAAAAAAAAAAAAAAAAAAAAAAAAAGGTTGTCTCCTATACATGCCCCAGGGATCGAACCTGCAGTCCAGGTATGTGCCCTGACCGAAAATAGAACCGGCCACCTTTTGGTATACGGGGCAACGCTCCAACCAACAGAGCCTCTAGGCCAGGGCAGGACTTTCCTTTTTTTATTTTATTTTAAATATATCTTTATTGATTTCAGAGAGAGGAAGGGAGAGGGAGAGAGACAGAAACATCAATAATGAGAGAGTCATTGATCTGCTGCCTCCTGCACGGCCCCAACTAGGGATCCAGCCTGCAGCCCGGGCATGTGCCCTGACCGGGAATCGAACCCTGATCGCCTGGATCCTAGGTCGACGCTCAACCGCTGAGCCCCGCTTGGCCAGGCAGGACTCCCCATTTTAATTAGTCCTCGCTGTATTCCATCTGTTCTAAGATGCCCATCCCCCACCCCATATTTCAGTATCTCTGAACTGGGGATGTGTCTTAAAAATCAATGATACCTCATAGCTTTTTTCCCTTGATTGTACCAAAAATAACAGTGTGACTTAGAGTGTCACAGGTTTGATGACATACTGTACAGCGCCGTCTACCCACTAAGCGCTCAGTGATCAGAACTGCGTGTAGCTGGCCAGGAGGAAAGACTCATTCCTCACCTTCATTAGCAACTCAGCATTGCCTTTCTATACACTGAAGTGAAAAAACTGGGCAGGCTGAGCAGATGCGGCCTGATGGCAGCGGTGCACTGTTTATTTTACGAACATCTTGATTAAGTTAAACGTCGGGAAAGCTGTCCATGGAGAGGGGTGCTCAGGGGAAATGACAGTGAGGGTGGTCATTCTTTTCAGTTTCAGGGAAACCTGAGAACTGTCCACCTGGCGAGGTCTTCACCGCCCGCCCGGGGGAGTGAAACTTTGTCGTCATCAGCTAACAAATCCGACAGGGTCTGGGCGAACAGCGGGAGCAGAGGGAAGAGGAACCAAAAACACACAAACAACTGACCACCCGGAAAGTGTGGAGCTGTTTTTAAAAGCAGAACTTCCCAAATCTCCCGATCAGACACAGCAGTAAGAGTACGCGATACATTCTGAGCTGGACAGTAGAGCTTCAGCGTGCCTTTGGTTTGGCAAAAACCAAAGACCTCTTTCTTCCTGCTTTTGCTCTTAGATGTTTGAAAAATGTTTAGAATGATTTTTTGTTTTCAACATCCCGACAGAAAAACTATGGTCACCTGTCTACTGCCCTGGTCCGAGCCCTATTTCACTTTAGGCTTCTGACCCAAAACGTCAAAGGTACCAGCCTCCCAAAAGGCACTCGGGACTCTGGGGTACAAATAAAGTAGCTCAGCGTGTTTCTCTCTCTCTCATATTTCTAGGTCTGAGGCAACAGGGTAACAGGTGACAGGTATACACACAGGGGCCCATTAGACGTAGAAATCACTGAGCGCTTGATCTACATGCATGACATCAAACTCATCCCAGTGAAATGCCCGACTTTCCAATGCTAAGGCCCTCTGAGGACAAATGTTCACATCTCCCCGATGCAGCATTTAATCACAGTGTCACTACAAGGGGGTGGGATGCTGTGGCAGAGGACACTGTAGTCAGCTGTCCCTCTTGCTGCTGAAGAGGGTGGACGTGTCACTTCTGAGGGTCCTGCCGAACCACCATCATTTATTTCCCTTTATAGCTCACCAGCCACTGCGCTTTGTATGCAGTGTCTCTCTGACGCATCACAACAGGTTTATTTTGAAATATAGGCACAGGTTACAGAAGAGAAAAAAAGAGGCTCAAAGAGGCACGCAGCTTCTACATGGAACAGCAGAGATCTGAACCCAGAGAAGTGTAACATCGAAGGACGAGTTATTACGAGCCTTGATAAATTCCCACTTTCCCCATGGAACAGAAAGTGAAGCATTCAGGTTAGAATCCCATGGAATAAGAACAGGTCATCATATACTCCCTCTTCGGGAAGCAAAGGGAAGCTGGGGTAGAAAAAGATGAAAACCTTGCCTTCACATGGGAACTGGCTGAAGATCAGAAGTGCCCCGCGCTGGGGTCAGCAATGGAAGGAAGTAGAAAACGGAGAAGTTCCACAGAGGGTCAACTTTCTCCTCTCTGTATAAAGTTCTCCTCTCTCTTCTTGCCACTTTGAAAACCCTTTTTCTTTCACGAACCATATAAATGGATAGGAAACCAACAGTTTCCCACAAAAAGGAGAGAGAAAAATCAGGATTTAAAGACGACTCACAGATCATCCCTTCATCACCTTGCTCCAGTAATTCCTACTTTCACTGTGACTTTCCAAACAAGGGTTCAAGAACTTGGAGGAAGAACACTGGATTTAAAGTCAAGGAAAGCACTCGATACCTCAGCAAGCGAGTGGCGCAGGGCCGGGGCCTCAACACGCACATACCTTCAGTGCTACATCACTAGCGAATGTCCCCCGATTCCTCTCAGACCATATGTTTTGTTTTAGAATCAAGTTGTTCCAGCTCCAAATAATTAAACAGAGAGGAGCCAAAAAACAGAGACAGGCACGCAGCACTCGAGGCACACTGAGTCCCCCTTCCCACCTTTCCAAGACCATAAACCAACGAGCTGACCTCATTAGGAAACCAAGAGGCCAGCTTACAGCGAACAGCTGAGAACACTTACAGGCAGCTCCTTACGCCTTCCAAACAGAAAAGCAGGCCTGACGCGCTTCCCACTCGGCTGTGTATGCAAACACGCGGCACAAATGTTTGTCCACCCAATTGTTGATGTTTGGAAATAATTTTGCCAACATTTTTGAATGTAAGTAGGAACTAGGTACTGTGTTTTTTACGAATTAGCTAAAACAGCACTGCCTAATACAGGAGCCACTGTCTGCTGGGCCTCTACAGTGTGGATAGTTCAAACTGAGATGCGCTAATGTCTGAATACGAATAAAAAGAATGTAAAATATCTCATTAATAGTTTTTTTATTATTGATTACATGTTGAATGATAATGCGTTAGATATGCTGGATTAAATAAAGTATATTATTAAAATTAATTTCTCTTGTTTCATTTTTTTAAAATATTACTGCAACATTTAAATGATATATGTGGCTTGCGCTATATTACTACTGAACAATACCATGCAGTAGGTACTGATATTATCACCATTTTATAGATAAGGAATCTGAGACTTAGAAACTTTAGGTAATTCTCCCAAGATCACACAGGTGCCTAAGCTGGGATGCTCAGGAAATCAGACTCCTCAGCCCAAGCTCGAAACTATTTTAGTACTTTCCTAGTGTGCGGAAAATGTTTGTCCAGCCAAATAAGGGATGGCGAATTACACTGAAACCCTTGTCCTAAGACTCAAAACTGCTCCTTTAATTTCTAGGGTTTGAGGCACAGGTATGTGTTCCTGACAGGGAGTGAGAATGGACTGGGTGGAACTGAGAGTGGCATGCTGAGGGGAGCCTGCTGGGCTTGCTGCCAGCAGAGCTGGAGCTCAGGAAAAGCTGGAAAGGAAAATGGCCCTACGTGGTGATGTGGGTCACTGGGCATCTATGTCAGGAGGGACGCATCTGCCCCCTTTTCTCTGAGGAACGGAAGATCTCTTCCTCCATCTGTTGTTTTAGTCCTTGCTGAGCCTCCGACATCTTGAAAATCAACCTGTGCTCTGCTCTAACTGGTACAAAAATGGATACTTCAAGAAGCCATTTATCCACCCATCTACAATCCTCAACCAATATTCCTGAGCTCCTACTTTGTGCTACACACTACTTTCCTCTTGTGATAAACAAGAAAACAGATACAGTCTCTGCCCCTGTGAGCCTGCAGTTCAGTGAGAGAGATTTTAATCAAATCATCAAAGCATGAAAGACAGCACTGTCCTTGATGGTACTATACAGGAAAAGAAAATAAGGCCAATACTGACTGCAAGAGGGGGATTGGACCCAGAGAGCATTCCAGGAAGGCTTCTCTGAGTGAGGGATGTAGAAGCTGGGGTCTGAAGGATAAGAAGTGCCCCTCCTCCCCCAAAAGAAGGAAGAATGTTTTAGGCAGAGGGGAGAGAATGTGCAAAGGCCCTGTGGTGAGAGTAGCATGGTAAGTAAAAGCGTCTAAAAGGTGACTGGTGTGGCTGGTGCACAGAGAATGGGGAAAGAGAAGAAGGGAGGGAAGATTTGCAATTAGAGATACAAGCAGGAACCAGCCCATGCAGGCCTTTTAAGCCACATTAGGGAATCCAGGCATTAGCCTAAGAGTGATAGAAAGCCATTTAAGGGCTGCCTGTGTGTAGTGAGCTGCAGTGGGGTGAGGAGGCAGGTCATTATCAGATTTGGGCTTTGGAAAAATGATGATCTGGGCTTCAAAAAGATTAGAATACACTGGGACTAGAAGGAGACAGCTTTGGCCATGCAAGCAATACTGGACTGTGTCCTGGACTGAAATGTGGT